TTCGTGTGNTCTGTAAACCGCTTAGAGAGGGCTGAAAGCCCTATGAAGTGGTATATAAGTCTAACTGCTATTGCTATTGCTATCTGGATTTTGCCACCCCAGATATAATATCCCTAATTCATCCAAAACAGTGTCTTCTATTCCACAAATGGGAAATCTGTGGCCATCCAGATGTTGATAAGCTACAGTTCTCCAGTTCTCCTGGCTAGCTGTGAATAATATTTTCAGTTCTCCGTTTATTGCTATTTTTTTCCCTGTTGCTAGTGCAGGGGTGTCAAACTGGCGGGCTGCGGGCTGGATGTATCACGCATAGGCCATGCCCACCCCAGCTGCGTGAAGGGGAAAAAATGTTGCGATACATCACATGACGGCGATGGGACGCCACGAGTTTGACACCTGCGCTAGTGACTCTGCTAGTTCTTTTTTTCCTGAAATTATACTTTAGTAATTTAAAAATCAGCAAACTCATTTAAAAGATCTAAGAACAAGTTCAAATTCAACAGCGACATTTGTACTTACTGAAGTAAACAAAAGGAGGAATGTGGCCTGGTGTACATTGCAAAAAAAGAATTACGTTTTCCTAAATTCAGACGGAAATAACTTATCTAATACATCCCAACACTTCCCATCTTTTGTTAGGTTGATTTTTCCATTATAAAAAATTTATATCGTTTTTTCATAGCAGGGAAGTAGTGAGGGAGCTCTGGATTTTTCCAAGACTATGCTATGGCCAGCCTTGCTCAACCATTATGAATTAAACAATTATAGATAGTCCTCGTTTAGTGACTGAAATTACAGCTGACAACATGATCAGTCAACAAAGTGGTCATGAAGGGAAAAAGCACATGGCTACAATTGTGCTTATGATTTTACGTCAGTTTTCCTTTGCTTAGAGTGTCAGAAATATCTGACCTCCAAAGAGTTGGGGGAGCCCAAACACCAATGAGGGTTTCCTGAACTTGATTCATGAGGACGTCAAGATGAAATAATGATTAAAAGGGCAAATCTTGTAGCCTTTTCCCCGCACCCTCCCACCTTTGGGATTGCTTGCTCCAGTGCTGGGATAGTTAACAAGAAGGGAATTGTTTATTTATCCTTTTATTATACTTATTTCCCTTTTCTACTGGTTGCACACATTATTGTTGTTGTTGTTGCTGCTGTTGCTGTTGTTGTTGTTTGGTTAATCTTTGGTGAGATTCACAGCCTTTGGGGCTGGTTGGTAGCTCAACAGCTCGAGTCCTAACCAAGGACCTAGGAACTAACTGTTAAGGTAACGTCGGAGGATATAAGCTGTTCCAAGTAGGGTGTTTTTTTTTTTTTGTAGAATCAGAATGTTCAAA